GCGACGGTCCCACAAATGGCTTAAGTTGGCAAAAGGCAACCGAGCCTTAAGTACCCGTACAGAGATTTCGTCGACCATTGACCCACTGGGACTGATCACACTTCCCAGGTAATTAAGTGTTCAACGCACACAACCACTTCACTCTATTGTTAGCTGGGGTATTGTTGAAAACCAGTCCTGGAGCAACAGTTTGCACTCGGCCGGCGGGAAACGCATGCCAAATATTCTTAAACTTCCACTCTAGGTGTCCAGAAGACTGCATCTTGTCATCATCTTCACCTTACGGGACTATGTCATCTGGGAATTCTGGGTCTGCCAATAATTCTTCTGTGATTAGGCCAATCCCTATGTAGTCAAACGAGGAGAGAGAGACCTCTGTAAGAACGTCTATGATAAAGTTGAATAGGAATGGAGAGAGTGGACATGCTTGATGGATACCACTCGACGTGTACACAGCTCACCCGACATGTGACCACTGGCTCTAAAACACCCACAGGTATTCGAGTAAGAAGCCTTCAATAAGGTGATGTAATTTCTCGGTACCTCTTTCGGTGAGAGACATTGCCATAAGACTTCCTGACAGTCAGAGTCAAATGCCTCCCTCAGGTCAAAAAATACAGCTGTCGTCGGGTGTCGGTAAGCGTGACTGTGTTCCAGAACCTGGCGGAGTATGAATATATGGTCAATACACCCACGACCAGGTCTGAAGTCTGCCTGGTTTTCCGAATTTGCTGTTCTCCAGTTCCAGTTGGTTGTCGGATAACTATGGACCCTAAGGTTTTGGACGCAACATTAATCAAGCTAATTCACCTATGGTTGCCACAAAAAGATTTCTCTCCTTTTCACAGACTGGCATAATCAGTGAAGTACACCAATGTGACGGTACTACCTCTGATTCCCATATATTACGCACTACCTCCGTCAATCCAATCAGTACCTTCATCCTTGAGAACTTCAGGTGGTAAACTGTCAGATCCTACTGCTTTGCATCGTTTCATGTTCTATTCAGCCTTCTCAACTTCGTAGAGAATTGAAGGACTGACATCTACGTCCCATTCAGGTTGAAGATGGATGGCGGGCAGAGTTACTGTGAACCAGTTGCACTGTGCTTCAGCGTTCTTCTCAACGTTCTAGTCGCCTGTCCTCGGTCATTATGAGTGTCTCATCCTTTTCGATAATGGTTTCGCTCACCATTGTCTTCTTGCCGGTATCCTAAACAAGCCCAACTAGTTGCTTGGTTTTACCTGGTGCTGATACCTTCTCCATCTTTCTCGGTTTCGGCGCCTACCACTGCTCGTGATCGATACAAGGACTCTTGGTCAATTTAGGTTTCTGATGCCTTCGCTGTCCATCGTGGTCAGAGCCAGCTGGAATCAGTCTTCTTGCATCAACCAGATCGGGTGAGGTTGCGGAAATAATGATTGCTAACCTTTATGTTCAGGTTACCAATTGTCTGTACTGCTGTTCATGCAGTAGACTGAATATCATACTACTCTAGGTTTCTTCAGGATAAGTATGTTGTCACGTTCAGATAAATTCTTAGCTAACTCCTCTCTAAATGCGTACTTAGCGTCCTCATTTTCCAGCCGAGCACAGGTAGGCCTCATTGCCTCCTGTTTACTGCGGCCAGCAAGGCAAAGACGCACACGAGGATGTATTAGCGCTTGACTGGAGTCCAAACTGGTACTCCAAAAAGAACGGCAATCCTCCACCAATCCTCGCCAACAACGGCTTATAACAATGTGATCTATCTGTGTCCATTGTTGGTTTGATATCGGTGAACCCCAAGTGAGACAGTACCTCGCCTTATACTTGAAGCTCGTCCTTGCCAAAAACAAGTGGTTGTCAGGACAAAAGTGCAACAGACGATCACTGTTGTCGGCTCATGGCGTCAGATTCCGTGAATACCTCAAAGATGACTTTCCGATGGGCTTAGCTGCCCTACTGGAGCGTTAAAGTCACCTGCCACTATGAATGTTTTGTATGTAACAAAGTTGACAGCTTTTGTCAATTTACCGTTTACACCCGAACTGCAGTCGGTGGGTGATTAGACGGAGATTACGAATATGCATCGCCTAGTTTCACTATCCTTCCTAGTTCTAACAGATCCATTCAGTCGAACACCCGATAGATGGCTGTTGACTGGCATCCAGTCGTGAAGCGCACTTTCTGTTATACAGAACAATGCTATGGCCACACCAGCGAGTCCTCGAGAGCCAGCCAATAAATCTCAACATACTCGTAGAGTGCATTTTGAGAATTTATTGCACTGGTCCTGTGATGTAAATTTAATAACCACGCTTGGATCCTGTATACGTGTCTCAGAGAGACGATATACATCCATGACTCGAAATTCGAGACTTCTGGCCGGCGGTGCTTGCTGTCCGATTTGGCATAGAATTCGGACGTTGAAAGCTCCTACATGGAGTCGACAGTTGGGTCTTAGGAGACTAAGAATAAGGTTTCGATGGTTTTAATCGTTCTCAGTAGTCGCAAAGTGAGAGGTTGGGGAAGGTATAAAAGGCTTAATGTTGATGTTCGGAGGTGAATGCAGAGAATGAGACAGAGTTGAGGAGGATAGGTTGTGTTTGATTGGGTTTGTATACTACTAAAAGCGTGCGAGCGGTTGACACTTCCTGGATACCCACACCATGGAAGACTATTTCTTTTATCTGAAAAAGAAAAAGATTTGTTTGACGGCAGAGCCCAAGAGGCATCTGCTTGCTGCCTGACACACAGCCTTTTGCGCTTTTTCTTTTGACGTTCAGGTGTTCTAGCGCCAAGCAGAAAAAACTGATACGACCGGCACCGGAGACCGTGGGCCAAAGAGGTGTGCTACTTTGAGGGTTGAATTTTTCTAACCCCCCTTACTGTTAGGAAAGGCAGCATCAGCGTTGCTCTGCTGGTCATCCAAGGGGAACACCTTACTGTTGCACACTTCCTGGTCTACTGAAAGACAATCGTCCAGATATGGTTGTTGTACCAGGTTATTTCAATACATAAGTGGTTAGATTGAGTCAAACAGAAAGACACCTTTATGATACTTTTGGTATGCCAACCTAACAAACAGGTTATGACGATCACCTGCCACGACTGTGCATCAACAGCCATGTATTTCTGGTCAATACGAACTTCAGACATAAAGAAGGATCTCAGCCTTTTCGTCTGCAACAGTGAATGCACGCGAACCCATCCCTGCGGTCTCCGAGCACAATGAGGAACGGAAGTAACTCAAACGTAGACTGAAAAAAGGTCTACGCAGTAACAGCGAACAGTGATGGTCAGTGAAGGCTAAAGAGATGGAAAAGGTAACAGCATACAGTTACTTAAACTTATCAAGAAACGGGGTCAAAAGCGTCAGTGGTTAGGGAGACAGTAACGGAGAAGGAAGGGTCTTTGGTTTATTCACAGGGGAGGCGACTGAAACGATGAGCAGAACACTTTGAGGAACAGTTCAAATGGCCTCCAACTGCTATTGTATTACTCGCTGTGCAGTCGGATCCTGAATAGAACATCGAGATTGGACCCCGAACATTTGCAAAAGTCGAGAAAGCTGTAGATAACCCCAAACGAGGAAGAGCATCAGGACCAGATGAACTAGTTCCGGAGGTATATAAGGCTGGTGGTAGAGTGATTTTAGTCAAGGCATCTGGTGTTAACTATTGTATGGAGTCAGATACTATCCCTCTGACTGGTCTCAATCACTGATTATCCGAGTCCTCAAGAAAGGTGAGGAGTTATCCTGAGACAGTGGCATGGAAACAAGCCCGACAAATGTAGTCTCTAGGATTCTGAGTCTTAAAACCAATAGATGTCTGCGTGGAATTCGGGAAAACCAGGCAGACTTCAGACCTGGTCGTGGGTGTATTGACCATATATTCATACTCCGCCAGGTTCTGGAACACAGTCACGCTTACCGACACCCGACGACAGCTGTATTTTTTGACCTGAGGGAGGCATTTGACTCTGACTGTCAGGAAGTCTTATGGCAATGTCTCTCACCGAAAGAGGTACCGAGAAATTACATCACCTTATTGAAGGCTTCTTACTCGAATACCTGTGGGTGTGTTAGAGCCAGTGGTCACATGTCGGGTGAGCTGTGTACACGTCGAGTGGTATCTATCAAGCATGTCCACTCTCTCCATTCCTATTCAACTTTATCATAGACGTTCTTACAGAGGTCTCTCTCTCCTCGTTTGACTACATAGGGATTGATTTTATCACATCATTTTTCTCCAGACCATTGACCTTGTTGGGGTTTATCTTTCGTCACTTGGCTAACTCCCTACTCTCCAATAATCTGACTTACCCGAATCGACTATTTAACTTATGTATTTCCCCTCAAAGTCATGGTATTTCTTAGATAACATTATTTCCTTTAATTGAGTCAATCGGATCCTAAATACAACAAAGTTTATCTCTGAGCGATTTTGTAGGTTTTAATGCCACCTTAATTCCAGCCTTGTTGAAAATTATTAGTGAAGCTTTTCATGTTCCTTCGTGGTGTGGTAACACAATAGGAACCTTGAGCTCCTTTCTGTTTATTAAGCCATCAATATTCCTAGTACCATTTCTACTTCGTCTCCAATGTTTTTATGAATTTCTTAAACGGTAGGGAATAGTTGTTCATTAGTAGTGTTTACTTGACATGTTTCAACTCCTTATTTAGGTCCATTACAAACATCACTGACTGGAGCAACAGAATTCATTCTTTAGTCAACTGTTAAAACTAGGTTCGTGGTTGAATGTCAAAAAAATATGGTAAGCTATACGTTATGATATCCAGCACAACTGTAGAGTTCGTCCTCACCAAGTGACCCGTTACGGTTTATACCTGCTTCTCTCATCATTCTGACTGTAATGTAGATAAACTCTGTGCTAAAACTAACAATGTACAGTAGCTCTTTTGTAAAGTACTGTGAATAAATATTTTATTGACATTTTTGTATCATATTTCAACTATTCTACTCCTTTAGATAACCGCCTCTGTTTTGTTTAAGGTTTTTGAATCTCACGCTGGCTTTCTTAGCCCACATCTGTTTGTCAAATTTAGCCTACCGTATTTGAAACAGATTGCAAGTCAAATACAAAATCGTTTATTAAATGAATACAATATTCCAAAAGAATCTCTTCCACCACTCATTGTATTTGCCAAGGATGGTCATTATGCTCTTTCAGAGCTATCTCAAGCAGGTTACGATGTCATCAGTTTAGATTGGACTATATGTCCGAAACTAGCGCGAAGCATTGTTCATTCTAATATCACACTGCAAGTGAGTCGAAGTTGTATTTTGTAAATACTATTAGTGAACTTAATTAAATTTGACTTGTTCGAAAGATGTCCAACACTTCTTCTGATTATGGTCCAATTGAAAATAATTTCCCATTTCACGTTACTCATAATTGAAGAAATTGAGAAGCTCAATAACAACAGCTCTAGGAAAACTGAAGAATTAGTTAACCATGGCTTTGGGACATAATTCCAATATATATATAAATGCAGAGCTATCTATAAAATAACGTCATCTCTCACTATGATCAACAGCTTCTTGAGGTAAAAATTATATTCGTTAATATTCAGAACTACTTAAATGCACATCACTATAAAGCTGTTTCAAAAATTCACATATTTATAGTCAGAAACAATGCCAGTTACGTTACTCAGCATAGTGAGAAGTAACTCAGCATCCACAAGTGGAACATATAAACGAAAATAATCAACACCCACCTGAATACTATACATTTAACATACTGCTAGCCATGATGAACATATATGTCGTTTGATTCATATATAAACAGTGACTCACTGTAATGACCTGAACATGTGCTGCGCATACTGAGCTAGTGCTTACCTTGACACTCAATGTCATTCGAAGTAGGTTTGCGATGAAAGGAAGTCAAGGATGACCAGACCAGGAAATGGCAGCAGTCCATGAAGTCTCTGACTGTTGTCCTTATCTATGTGGGGGATTTTAAGCTGTGTGGCTTTGTCCCTGTTGATGTTATAAACCTATACTTAGGGAGACTCTTCGTGATATGTTGGAAGATCGGTGATACATAATGGCACGGAATGTATACACCGCTTGCCCTCTTCGAGGTTTTGAATATTTTCATGAAGCTTTATTTGTTTACTTACTTTTCCCTCCTCTCATACACTATCGACTACTTTACTATCTTCCTCTTCCTACCCACATTCTATTTCAGTGCTCTGTGATGACTTGAAGAGATGCATTTCTGTTCCAGATTTCCCCAATTTCTCTGTTTCTGGAGTTGTGTATGTAGGATGGAGCACGCCTATAAGAGGTGAGTGTGTTTGTTCACACTTGACGAATGTGGTGAATCTTCGAAGTGGACCTTACGAATGCCAGGAGATTCGATTGCTAGTTGTATGGAGTCACCGATGTAGGCATGACATTACATTCTAAAGCAGAAAGTGCACTGCTTGGTTGGATACTAGTGGAGAGGGGTTTTTTGTGCCTATCGACTGATTGTATGGGATGTGTAAGAACTAGGAATGATGGCGACACTCTCTTATGTGTACTTGTAGTCCCGGATAGTGCGTCGATTGACTGGATTTCGGATGGTGCAAAGGACGAGTTTTGTGCAAAGCTATGGATTTGACTAGACAAAGCAAAACATGGAGGTACAGTCATAGTCACAGTAGTGGGCGAGTTTAGTGCGCAATGAGACAAGATGAGGGGAATCGGAAATGGATTTTCGGCGGTGCTCAGAGTATTCTACTTTTGTTCTGGCCGTTGGATGTTGCTGATCAGCACCAACTTCAAACATATGGAGACATTGTCTGAAATTTGGCATTCGTGAGCGTCAGGAGAACGGTAGACAGAGATAGGTCACACATCGTTACGAGTTGTCGCTGGAGAGAGCTGGTGGAGGATTGTGGTTGTCTTTGGAGTACCTGGTTGGACTGCGATAACTCTGCGATACGGATATGTAGATGTGTCCTCGAATGAAAGATGAGAAAGTAAAGTGTATGGAGTTAGGGAGGAAGTAGGCAAGCATTTGTCTGAATACGGCAGCAATCGTCTTCGTGATGAATCCCGCTCGCCTGCTTGGTGTGGTGTATGGCATGGTGTCTGTTGTAGAAACAGCGGTAAAGGTAGTTAGCAGGCTATATTGGAAGGTATTTAAGAGCCAGTGGATCTCCGCAACCTTAGCTGATTGGTGTGAGAAGACTCATCGGATTTAGCTGCTTTCCTCATGATGACTATGTAAATTAATGCGTTGTTTGGTATGGGATTGTACGCTTTTATTTCGTTTCGTAGACCCAATATGGCCATATTTACGCCTGTGACTTCGTTTTGTCTCTTGACTGATTTTTTTCTCATATTTTGTAGCATGTTATTTTAATCGGTGCTCAGTTGTAGGATGTGTTGCTTTCCGTTGCCTGTTATATTAAGGATGTTTGGTTGGTTTGTGTTCTCACCATGTATTCTTTTATTTTTCGGGCTCTTTGAATTTTTGTTTCATCTTTCATGTCTCCTGTATTGTACCAGTCTTTTCAATGTGTCTATGTATCTGTTTAGGTATTATAAAGGTGATCTAATACACGTTTGCTCTGTATCTTATCTTAAGGATCACATTGATTTGTGTTATTTTCTTGCCATCTTCTCTTTTTAGTGGTTTCCTTTCTTATATCTCCATGTTTCATCTTCTAACATTGTATAACAACCAATGCACTTGTGTGCGTTGTTATTCGTTGATTTCATTTGTTTCTCCATCTGTTTCATAATGTGTTGCTTTGCTGTTTGGCAGCTTTCAGCGAAGTGATATCGGATTTCTTGTTGATTTTGATCGACTTACTGAATCCTGGTTTATATATTTGCTCATTTCGGTCTTAGCAACTGAATGCTGTAGTATGTTCTTACATGTATTTACTCATATATATGAATTTCCTTTCGATGTAGTCGAAACCGCTACGACTAATCAATTCTTTAATAAATATGCTAAACCCCCTAGTTAGTTACGCTTAAAATGCAAAACAGTATTCGTCAGAAGTACGGTGCTTTATTCATAAACAATAATGACTTATAATTTTGAAACCTTGAATCTTGTTGTGTCTGTTCAGGTATCTTCTTCAAAGCACCTTACGAGGCATGTATCAACAGTACAAACAGCAAGACCATGTACAAATCTGCCCGGCCGCAAATTTGAAAACCGCGCGAATTTCGAAGATGACAATAAAGGCGTTATATAAACTAGTGTTTGGGAGAAGATACAGCATCATAGAAATAGTCGAAGTAGGGAAAATATTATCATAAGGTGGGAAAGATACAGATGTCGTAGGATGTTAAATGGCAAGGAGAATATGAAATTATATGAATATGAAATTGAACAGAACTGTAGTCAAGGTAAAATTGTCTAGAAGCATAATCACACTACTCACTATTAGTAAGTAGCACAAAGTTTATGCATGAGAAACTAGAGGTGTAAATTTGAGAAAATTAGAAAATAGTAACGAAAGAATAAACTGTGTCGGTAGGTTCGACCCAGCTGTCACCAACCACTGAATTATCATCCTAAGTCCATTCCACTTATTTTACCATTACTCTTCAGTTAGATGGTTTGCTTTAGTTTCTGATGTCTAATTATTCACTACAGACCTTAGTTACAACATAGTTACACTTTTTATAAAGTGTAATTCGATTCACTGTGTAAATGACTTGATTACTTTTCTTCTTTAGGGTAATTTGGATCCTTGTGCACTCTATGCTGATGTGGATGAACTTTTCATTCAGGTAAAGCAAATGGTTCACGATTTCGGTATGAAACGCTACATCGCTAATTTGGGTCACGGCATTTATCCTGATGTTGATCCAGAAAATGTAAATAAATTCGTCGATTCAGTACATAAGCTATCCGAGACAATGTTGGAACATATCACTTCTTTTTAATTTGGCTTTTTGTTCATCAGAGCATCTCTTTCTTCATACTTGTAGCCGAGCTAAACAAAAAAAATTTTTTTTTTTTAAATTATAGTGTCATTTTATATCTGCTCCACTTTCATTTCACAACCCCTTTCTTCGATTTTCTTTACTTTTTTGATCAACTTTTTTACACTTATCTAGTCGTTTGTTTGTTCAAAGCTTATATTTAGGTTGCCAGCGTAGTTTCGTATTACTAAGAATACTTCAATTTTCATTTGGTTAATCTTCATAATTAAACGTTTAAACTCCATTGTGTACATATCGTGCTTAAATGAAAAGAAGAATCCTATGTGCTTCATGAATAAAATCGAAACTGTTTCGAGTAGAATTGTATCAAAGTAGATTTTGTTTTACATATTATTGACAGATTCATGTGATCAAACAGATAAATCATCGTAGTACCTCGTACAGAATTGCATTAGTTTCCAGTTGCCACAATTCACATTAGCAGGTAAAGAAACAAGTGGATAGAAAAAGACTGATATCAAAGTAGACGAAGGTGTATGAGAGAATAAACAAGTTGAAGAGGAAGGTTAGTGCAGATATTCAGTCTTTAGGAAACATCAAGGAGTGAGTAAATACATCTCCGCCATTGTGACCGATTTTTCCACCTATATTACCAAGATTCCCCAACCACTGAAACCTATCGTCTCGGGGACTGCAACCAGGTAGGATACACACCTCTTCCTACATGACTCATGCCAACAATTAGAGACTGCATGCATTGATATCATGTAATCAGATGGTTATTTAAGTGTCGAATAATCATAAGTTGTCAGAAATATTTTGTACCATAGATTTTCTCACATTTGATATTAACGTTTATTGCTTTTCTACTAACCGTTTTTGATTCACTGTTATCTTAGTTAGTATAACTATAATTATCAGCAGTTCCCGTAGAGGGAAGTTTACTGGATGTACATTCATCCCCTAAAATAAGGTGATACATTTTAAGTAATTTTATCTCTCTGTTCATTACCGTAGAGAAAATTATGTTAAGAAGGGTATATAATATAAAAGCTCAGTTGTTTTTTTTTGCGTACTTGTTAAAAACATCGAGTATAGAGTTACGAAATAACTTTTTGTTCCTTCCTGTCGTGAATCATTCATATAACAATCTCATGTCGATTACACTAGCTCAGATTTATTTATTCTACCGAATACCTTGATAACTTATTCGCTTCCCTCTCATTTATTTTATAATCTTTTCCACTTCTAACGTTCTCTTTCTCCACTGTTGTATGTTATAAATTGGATTACTGCACTTCTACATGACTTCGTACTTTTACATTTCCATCATATCCACTCTCAATATTCTATATACATTCAAATTATACATAATGAGTAGCATACTTGCTCAACGATCAGAAAATACAGTCGCTTACGTGTAAATTCTTTAACTGGGTAATAATAAGATCATAACATATCTTCGAGTTACTTTTCACTCAATAACGGCCTGTTGAACTCACTATGCATTTGTTCGACATGCGAAATGATAGATAAAAGAGTGGATGGAAGTAGTATTACCTAATAAAGCATACGTAGACTTAACATGGAATAGTGAGGAATGTGGTCACAACCAGTCACATACTACTTTAAATACCTAATAAGAAAGCGAGAACTTCAGTTTTAATCATATATCTATGTTATAATCTCTGTGGCGAACTACTACAAAACTCGGATGCGCTCACATTTATCTTCATCTAATCCATTGTGTCTTTTATTTCCTTTTTATCTTCTGGGACTGGTATGCAATTACGCCTAATCCTATTCTGTAAATATCTTCCTATCTAATAGCGATAAGTTTTAAATGGTGTTAAAAGTATTTAAATGTCTGTTAACAGTCCCAATCAGTTGAAATTGGTGAATATTTAGTTCTGTTCATCTTATTATACAAGAATGCGTTTTATAGTCCCCTTTTTCGGCGTTTATTTAATCATTCACGTGGTTCATTCGTACTTCTTACTGTTACTATTCTTCAAACTCAGAGGTTATTTGTGGTTCAGTTCACTTTATGACTTCACAACTTACATAATTCCTTTACATTGATTTGGATAGTAGGGTTATAATTTGGTTTCCTTATTTGTTAAATTAACTCTAATTCCTTGATTTTTTATAAATTCTTCAGAAATCGAAGTAGTCCTTTTGAGTCATCCAGGTAAAGACTTCAATAAATAAATATGCTTTCGATGAGATCATCTCCAGACGTCATACAACAGAACTAGAGTGTAATTAGTAATAACGGTTGTCGTCAAGGCATACTGAACGAAAAGTATCATTTTTCATAGGTTGTCAAGAGAACAATCGAGAGTAAACTTGAAGTAGGGGAGCTTTAAAACCTTTGTCAGAGTGAATAATTAACTTAATTTGGAGATTTAGTGATTTTCCAAGTTGGTATTCATCATGGACAGACATCAGTTGAAGAAACACTGGAAACTTGGGAGCACTGGACAGCTGTTTCGTCCTGGTATGGGGCTCCTCAGCAGTGCGCACCCATGACCTCACCAGTGCTCCCAGCTTTTCAGTGTTCCTCTAGTTAATGTCAGTCCTTGAAGAATAATGAAATTTTTTAAAATAGGTGATTACTGGTAATCGAAAGAATAAAGTCACTTATTAAAGACGGTAAGAAACTGTTATCCACAGGTGAAATACACTTTCAGAATTCATTTTAACGTGAATAGATCAAGTAGATGTTTGTTCAATTATTCTTATGATTTAAAACAGCTGCAATAATACTTGTCGGTTTGTAGTATTATGCTGTTCACAATACAAGATAATTTACGATTTCACTAGCATTAAAAATATCTATTGGCGACATTACTTCCCACTACTGTGTTTAAATAGTGACTACCATGAACTTGATCAAA